AGGAGCCCTATTTTCCGAGTGTCCTTTAATAGCCTGGGAGGGTCTCGGCCGCCCTTCTGGGTCTGCTGGCCCCTCAGCATCCCAGGAGATGCAGCAAGAGCGGTGCACAGCACCCCAGATTCGGCTGCGTCATGGCGTGTGCAAGGTACAGTGCTTTTGTTTTGTGTCTAAAAAGCCTTTAGGATGGTGGCCAGATGCTATTGGGTTTTTTTTAGCTGCAGCAGCACATAAACCAGTGTCTGGTGATCAATAGAGTCTCTCCCTCCCCGCCCCCCTTTTTCTCTGGCTCGTAATTGATTGTCCTCAGCTTTTGTTGAATGTGTAGAGTTAGGATGGTTTTTAAAGATTTTTTTCCTCAATTTTCAGTTTTTGTGAGTCCATGTGTGCGTACACAGTGATTGTGCTCTCTGTGGAGAGCGGCCCGGGCGCGTGGCGCGCCTCAACCCTACTCCCCTTCCCTTCCCGTCTCCTCCCTTCCCTCCCCCTGCCTCACTTGATTCCCTTACTATTCGCAAAACACCTATCCCTTACCTCCTGTCACCTGTCTCTTACTGTGTTCTTTCGTTTATTTACACTTTGGGTTCCTCCTATAAGGGAAACCATGCAGTACTCAAGCTTGTGCATCTGATTTATGTCACTTAACTTGGTCTCGGGGTGCGTCCATCCTCCTCCAGTGACCCAGTCTCCCTCACGGCACAGTAGTGTGGCACTGTTTATAAAGGGCTCATTTGCTTTATCCATTCATCCTTTGCTGGACCTCTAGGCCACTTGCAAGACTGTGCTGTTACGAATTATGTTGCCTTTAACTCTTTAGGGAAGAGACCTAGAAGGGAGATCTCAGGGTCAAATGGAATTTTTCTAGTTTCAGTTTTTTGAGAAACATTCATACCTGATTTCCACAGTGGCTGTACTAGGTCACATTCCCACAACATTTCCCTAAAGCCTTGCCAGCATTTGATTTCTTGATGATAGCCATTCTTTCTGGAGTAAGATGGAATCTCAGTGTTGTCTTAATTTGCATTCCTCCAGTGGCTAAGGATGTTGAACATTTTTGTGTGTGTGCTTTGGCCATTTGTATATCAACTGACAAGTGTCTGTCTGTGTTTCCGTGACCCACTTTTTGACTGAGTCTTTTGTTTTGGGACAGGCTAATTTTTTTTTTAAGTTCTTCACATATTGTAAATATTAGTCTTCTGTCTGAGGTGTAGCTGGCAAAATTTTTTGCCATTCTGTGGGTTTTCTTTTCACTCTGTTGATCGTTTCCTTTGCTATGCAGAAGATTTTTAATTTGATGTTATTTCTTGTTCAACTGAGCTTCTGTCCAGAAAGTTCTTGCCTATACCTATGTCTTCAAGAGTTTTACTTCCAGCAGATTATTTCTGTTTTAGCATTTAGGTCTCTGGTCCATTTTGATTTTAGTTTAGTGCATGGTGAGAGGCATGGGTGTGGACTCGGTCCTCTGCCCGTGAGTGGTCAGTTTTCCTAGCACCCTTTGCTAAAGAGGCCATCTTTCCTCAGGGTATGTTTTTGGACCTTTGTCCAAGATCAGAAGTGAAATGTGCCCGAGACTGTTTCTTGCATCTTCTATTCCAGTCCATCGACCCACATCTGTTTTTACGGGAGTTAGGATCACTTTCCCTCAAAGTGTCAGAAGGTAATTGAAGCTTGCCTGCTGCCTCCTTCCCCTTTGCAAGCCCATAAGCTCACATAGCCTGAAAAGCTTTATGTTCTTCATCATCTAGAAGAATGTGGGGTACTTGTGAAGTTGTACGATTTCCAACAGCGACCAGTTCTATCACCTACCATTGTGCTTCTTTCCATCTGGAGAAATGCCTGTTGTTTCTGTTGCTTCCTCTGCCCACTGTTGCTTTCTCCATCTCCTTCCCTGTCCCAGTAACTTCCAGGAACCTCTCAGGTACAGCCTTGCCGGGAGCATTTTATTGTCCAAAGTTCTGGCCCCCCAGTGTGGAGGAACTCTCAGATTAGTCAGACATGACTTTGTCCGGCTGGAAATGAGTCCATCCGCCTTTAGCTGGTCCTGTGTCCTGAGGCAGCTCAGCTCGGGGACTGCAGTCGGAAGGCCTTGGGCTCTGCAGCCAGGTAGGCTGGGGTCTGGGTCCTCCAGTCATGTTTCCCAGCGTGATTGTGACCTGGCTGCGTTAGTGCCCTATCTGAGCCATCATTGGAAATGGTGGTGTAGCTGGGTGCTGTGGTGTATGCCTAGAATCCCAGAACTCAAAGAGATTGGCCAGAATGTGGTGGCGCATGCCTAATCCCAGAAGTTAGGAGGCTGAGGCAGGAGCATCGTTGCAAATTTGAGACCACCCTGGGCTACAAAGTGAGCTCAAGGCCAGTCTGAACTACACAGCAAGACCCTGTCTCAAAAAGACCAAAACAAACAAACAAAACAAAACCTCGAGAAACTGAGGCAGATTGATTATGAGTTTTTAAGGCCAGCTTGGGCCACATATAGAGACCCTCTGCCCAAAAAAATCAAACCAAAACTGTAACAAGTTAAAATCTAGCCACAGACCATATGTATATGACTGTTGTACTAATAAAAAAAATTTAAGCTGGGTGTGGTGCTACGCACTGGAAATCCCACCACTCAGGATGCTGGGGCTGGTGGGTCATGATTCAAGACCAGCCTGGGACACCATAGTGCACCCCAGCCAGCCTGGATTACAGCGTGAGACCCCGTCTCAGAGAGGGTTGGTATTCCGCCCTGAAAGGAGTCCTCTCATGCTATATCCTGCATTGAACAAACTTGGCAATCCAGATACAGCAGGCATTCTGGTTCTCCAGGTCTGGATGGTTTGAAAATTTTCCTAGGGAATTCTGATATGCAGCAGAGCGTGCGAACTGGTGTTTATTAGATGACAAAAACAATTGCTAGAGTCACATAAAATGCTGAGGAAAATACAAGTTCTTACAGCTGAAGGGCACATTTACATCCCGGGTTTGAGGCCAGGTCAGACCCCAGGCTCCTGCAGACGCTGTTAGAGCAGTTCAGTGCCTGGTCTTGCTCCTGTGACGGGGCTGGGGCGACCCCATCAGAGGCGGAGAAGCTCAGGCAAAGGTCTGGGCTTGTTCTAGTCAAAAGAACCCAGAGAAGACTTGCAGTCCCTCTGAGACTACCCAGGATTCCCCTCACTCCATCACGCTCACTGAGCCCTTGCCTTGGGCCCCACGAACCCTAAGACATGGAAAAGACATGACCCCTACCTTGAAGGACCCACAGGAGAGGCAGGGTGTGGACAAATAATGATTCTGTTATGGGGAAATAGTAGGAATATGTCCTGATTACCAAGACTGGAAAGAACAGCTTTGAGGGGCAGCGGGGAAAAGTCCTCAAGGTGCTCCAGATGGGTCTTGCAGGATAAGTCACTACTGTCCAGGGGACGTAGAGCGGGATGGGCCTCGTGGGGAGCCATGGCAGCAGAGGGCACTGAACACAGGGCACATGGAGTGAGCAGTCGGGAGATGGGCAGGCCAGGAGGCCGGTAGCCGCTACAAACATGGAGTTTCCTTCTGCAGGATGGAGGACCATTCGGAGCAGAGGAGCAGCTATGCAAGCTTGCGTTTTTCAAGGTTCCCCAGGGTGCCATGTGGAGAGGGAGACTGAGGCAGTGGGAAAGCCCTAGGCAAGGTATGAGGATTTCAGTGAAGAACGCAGGTACCGGTGGGGACAGGAGAGTAGGTGTGACCCACGCTGAGAAGCATGTCTGATGGGATCAGCAGCTGGCCAGCTGTGGTAAGATGCCAAAGACGCCAGTGTCTGGAGACATTCAGTTTCGGGGCCTTACCAAATGCAAAGCAAGAAAGCATCAGGATGCGTTAGATCAGAGCTGGGCACATCTATAATCTGAGCTATGGGAGGCTGAGGCAGGAGGATCCTAAGTTCCCATCCAGCCTGGGCACCTTAATGAAATCTTGTCTCAGAAAATAAAATAAAAAGGGCTGGAGCTGGAGCTCAGTGGTGGAGCATGTGCCTAGCATATGTGAGGCCTGGGTTCAAACCTCACTACCCCAAAAAGAAAAAAACAAATAACAGATGAATTAAGCGTGTGAGCTGGTGATGAGGCTGATGGAGAAGCCGTAGTTAGGTGGCAGCAGAAAAAATAATGCATCATGATCGCAACTTCCAGTTCCAGAAGCACCTACTGAGAGTCTGCTGAACGCTCACCGGGCTTGCACGGGAGGGCAGAGGCCTCTCATGAGTGCAAGGTCGGGGTGCGAATCTTACCTCTTTGTTACTCTCTAGCTGCATGGCCTTGGGCTGGTTGTTCTCAATGTCTTCATTTGTTAAGCAAGAAGAGAAATCATCTTTTCTCTAAAAGTAAGATGGAGGCTGCGGCCGTTCAGGGCTTGGTTTAGCTCCTAACGGTGCACTCAGACACATTTTGCAGTCATGCTGGGAGGAAGGCTGCCACGTTCCCATACTGCAGATGTGGAAAGTGAGGGGCATAAGCGCCCATGGCCCCCTCCTGTCTGAGGCGGGGAGCCCCCGCCTTGCAGGCTGCCGCCAGAGTCCTGGCTGCCGTGGGGCCTCCTTTAGCTGCACTGTCTCTCCTTGTGGCTTCTGACCACAGGTTAACCCCCTGCCCGCTGCCCAGATAGAGAGCTGGCTTCTGAGCCAGGAGTCTTTCACCTCCCCTTCTGAACCCCGGGGGGCCCCGTCGCCAGAATTAGATTGCCACCTACCCTCAGGCAGGCCTAGGGAGCCGGCCTTTCCTCTGTAACCAAAGCAAACAGATCGGGTGCCCTGTATTCCCGCAGGGGTGCCCTCTCCTGGCTCCTGCATGGCCTGTACACAATGGAAGCCTTGTGCTGCCTGCGGCCCAGAGGCTGGAGGGGAAAACTCCACTGTCCTCCAGGGCCATCCCCCGAGGCCCCATCTGGGTCACATCTTCTGGCTGCTCCTAGAAGGACCCAGAGCGGAGGGGCGGGGGGGGGGGTGCCGCAGCCCCACCAAACCCTCTGAACCCCTGTGTCCCCAGGCCATGGAGAGCAAGCTGCTCATCGGGGGCAGGAACATCATGGATCACACCAACGAGCAGCAGAAGATGCTGGAACTGAAGAGGCAGGAGATCGCCGAGCAGGTAGGGCTGCCTGGCCTCAGGGCCTGGAGGTCATGTCTCGGGGAGGGTGCTCACTGGCCGTGGACTTGCGGTCCTTGGGACTGCAGTGCTGAGTGGCACTCTGGGCCCCCTCTGTTACCAGCCCAGGGTCATTCCACTGGAGGAGCATGGCCCCTGGTCCCTGGGTGCCCTCGGCCCTCTCCTGGCAGTGCCCTCTCACCAGGTCCCCTCGCCCTGCTTTGGCCTAGAAACGCCGTGAACGCGAAATGCAGCAGGAGATGCTCCTCCGAGACGAGGAGACCATGGAGCTCCGGGGCACCTACACATCCCTGCAGCAGGAGGTGGAGGTCAAAACCAAGAAGCTCAAGAAGGTGAGCGCCACGGCAGGGAGGGCCGCCCAGGAGTCTGCGCTTCGAGACCCTTCCCCACTGTGCGTGGCTCAAGAACCCCTGAGCGGTTTCCAGAGCTGCTGGCGGAGGAGCGGGACAGGCAGGAGAGTGGCGCTGGGCAGAGCCGAGCCTTTTCTCCTGGGCTATGGGAGTTCACAGGCCGAATGCGTCACTTCCATTCTTGAGAGTTGCCACTATCGTGGGCCTGAGTAACTCCTCCCCCACTTATAATGTCACAGTGAGGCATAGTCTTGATGCTGGACCCAGAGAAGGATGAGGGGGTCACAGGGGGGTGTGAGACTCAAGCCTGGGCAAGCCCAGGAAAGGCAAACGAGGCCCTCCATACTGTCGACGGACAAGAATCTGTGGTCACCAGGACCCTGAAGACCATGACAGGAGAAGACGTGTGCACGAGAGGTCTACAGCAGGAAGTGGCAAGGTCCAGCTTTGATGGGGAGGAACCTGGGATCCCCCCAGGGTCACTGATGAGGCTGCCCTGGGACTGGCTGGGTTGTGGCCCCGACACTGTGGCAGTTACCATGGACACTGCCCAGCAGGTTAGGGGTGGACCAGGCAGGCCAGTACTGACCTCCACACCACCGCTTTTGGGAACCTGCAGAGGCAGGAGTGGAGGAGGTCACCTTCCCACTAAATGCTTTCCAGCCCCTGCCTGGGTCTTCAGGTGAGATCAGAGCTCTAGCTCTGGCTCTTCTTTGGGTTAGTTGTACGACCTTACAAGCTTCCCTATCTGTAAAAATAAGGTGTGGCAGTGCACCCCTGTAATCCCAGCACTCTGGAGCCTAAGACAAGAGGATTGTTGTGAGTTCAAGGCCAGCCTGGGGTACATAGTGAACGCAAGGCCAGCCTGAACTACATAGTGAAACCCTGTTTTAAATAAATATGTAAATAAATATAAAACCAGGGTGTTGGACCAAAAGGTCCCTCCCAGGGTGAACACCGGACAAAGTTAACAGCTGCTGAAAGACAGCAGCCTCAGTGCAGGGGGCTTCAGTGGGGGAGCAGCCCTGGGGAGTTCAGGCTGGAAGCCCCAGGCCCATCCCAGGTGTAGCCTGTGGGCCTGAACCTGCAGCTCCCAGGGCCCGGGCTGGGGGACTGGGACCTTGAGGCCAAAGCGAGCGAGCAGCCTCTGAGCTGCCCCCCTGACCCCCCCCCCAGCTCTATGCCAAGCTGCAGGCGGTGAAGGCGGAGATCCAGGACCAACACGATGAGTACATCCGCGTGCGGCAGGACCTGGAAGAAGCACAGAACGAGCAGACGCGCGAACTCAAGCTCAAGTAGGGCCAGCTCCTGTTCCGGGCCTGGGTCCCCGCAGCCTCAGGGCCTCCCGCTGCAGACCGCTCCTTCCTGGGGGCCTGGCCTCACCGCATGCCCTTCCATGATCCATGTGTCCTGGGACTCCCGTGGGTCTGAGGAGGAAGGACAGCCCAGTTCTGTCTGGAGTTTCCACTTCCTTGGCCTGAATTTGATCACACACACACACACACCTGCCCAGTGCATGTTGGGTGCCCATCAAAAGTAGCCCCAGAGGCAGTGGTTTTCAAGCTTCAGTTTTCCTATAGGGACCCCTCACCCCAACTTTCTGGACTGCTTCGAAGCCTCCCGCCTTCTCCTGCACCTTCTCCCCGTCTCCAGGTATCTGATCATCGAGAACTTCATCCCCCCAGAGGAGAAGAACAAGATCATGAACCGGCTCTTCCTGGACTACGAGGAGGAGCAGTGGCGGTTCCAGCCCCTGGTCCCAGCCGGAGTGTGAGTTTCTGCAACCGTCTGGGCCCGGGCCGAGAGGCCGCTCTGGTGTGGGGTGGGCAGCCGTCTGCAGCGAGGCAGATTTGGGGATCGAGAAGGGATGGGGTAGGGAGGACGGATTCCTCAGCATCTAATTTGAAGGGGCTTCCTGAAGGAAGGGTTTTCTGAAGAAAAAGAAACTGACCCGAGATGCAAAACCGACCCTAAGAGGACCGAGGTGGGGAGCGTGTCCCAGCTGCTTGCCCGTCCGGGGAGCTCGGGCCGCTGGTGCTGAACACTCGTTTGCTGAGTGTCAGGAATAGCAATCACGGTTCCCGTTTGCTAAGGGCTCCCTGGTGTCCAGCACCACGCGAGACCGCAGAGAGAAGAGAAATCAGATGCAATCAGAGCGCACAGTCCAGCGGGAAATGCAGATCACGGCAGAGGCAGGGTGACCTTGCAGGCTCCACCAGGCGATGCAGCCTGCCCACCTGTTTGCACCTGCTGTCTGTGGGCTGCTGCGTCCCCTGGCTGGGTGTGCAGCGCCCTCTGCTGGTCACTGTGGAGAGCAAGGCTGAGTGCTGGAGCCCGGTAGCGGGGCTGCCTCTGGGATACCGGCCGCGAAGGGAGATGCCTGGGTATTCGCTGCTCTAGCCTAGGAGTGGTACCGTCGAGGTGGGACCGGAGGCTCCCCAGAGCTGGGGTGGGCAGCCAGCAGAGGTCTACAGCTTCTCACTGGGGCACTCACTGTTACATTTTCTGATTTCTCAAATGCCGATACTTTCACTTACAATTTAAATTCACCATTCGAGGGCTTTGCAATGGTCACTTTGGGTTTATAGTCCAACTTTTTTTCCTTTTTTGGTACTAGGGGATTGAACCTGGGGCCTTGCACTGAGGTACATCTCAGTCCTTTATTTTTCCTTTTGATAGAGAGTCTTGCTAAATTGCCCAGGCTGGGCTCAAACTTGCATTCCTCCTGCCTCTGCATGCCAGAGTGCTGGGTAATAGATGTGTGTGGCTTCTTCTGTGTGTGCACGGATCTGTGTGTGTGTGTGTGTGTGTGTGTGTGTGTGTGTGCGCTGTGGGACACGTGCTTGCTATGTATCCCAGGCTGGCCTTGAACTCATTTTATAGCCTAAACTGGAGTATCCTGCCTCAGCCTCCTGAGTGCTGGGATCACAGGCGTGCGCCACCATGTCTGGCTCATACCAAATGTTTTTGTTTCGTTTTTCTTTTGAGACAGAATCTCACTATGCTGTAGCACAGGCTGGCTTTGAACTCACAATGCTCCTGCCCGTTGCTGCCCTGAATTTCCAACATTGTACCACATCTCAACTGAGATTAAGTTGTAGACTTTGCCTGTATTTCACAATGATTGATTTCAAGGAATTTCATATTGAGATAGTTACAGAAGTAACATTTAGTTTTCCCAGGTTCCTAATAATGTCCTTTATAGCACACACACACACACTGACTGAGAACATTTATTGCATTTAACTGTCCTGCCCTTCGTCTCTTCTAATCAGGAACTGAGACAGGAGTTTGATGTGAGTTTTGTAGCTTCACTTGCCAGAGGAGTTCATTTGTTGCTCCTAACTTTATCCCTGACTCGTGTGTTATCTGTCTCTGGCACGAGACCCTGACAGTGAGTGCACTTGGTGCTTTGCCTGAAGCCTATAAGCTTTTTATTTGATGATTGTGAGACTTTTTTTTTCTTTTTTTATGGTACCAGGGATTGAACTCATGACCTGTCACTTGCCAGGCAGGCGCTTATGCCGCTGAGCTAAATCCCCAGCCTCTATTTGATGATTGTGAACTTCTATTCTTTATTTTGTACTTCCCAAAAGTATTTTCCTTTTTAAGTAACTTTATTGAATTGCAAATGTAATGTGTATTCATTATGGAAAGTTTATTTACCTGCTGTTATTTTGGGTGTTGGGGCTTTTCACATGCTAAGCATGAGACTGTTACTGAAAATTTAGATAAACAGAATAAAACTGTTTCTCTCACTTTGAGACATGGTTTCATTACGTAGTTCAGGCTGGCCTGGAGCTCACTGTGTAGCCCAGTCTGGCCTCAAACTCACAGTGATCCTCCTGCCTCAGCCTCCTGAGCGCTGGGATTACAGGTATGCATCACCACACCTGGCCTAAAAGCATAAAACTCCTGAGCCAGGCACAGTGGTACACACATGTAACCCCAACACACTGAGAGGCTGAGGTAGGAGGGTCACAAGTTTGAGCTCAGTCTGGGCAGCCTAGCAACACAGCAAGTCTGTTTTAAAATATAAAAAAATGTAAAAAGAGCTGGAATGCAACTCAGTATGAAGGCCTTTGGTTCAATCCCCAGTATCATGAAAACAAAAACTAAACAAACAACACTAGGAAAAAAAATTTCTGAGCCAGATATGTTGATGAACAGCTGTAATCCCAAATACTCTGAGGGCCAATGGGGAATCATTACAAATTGGAGGCCAGCCTGAACTGTTCAGCAAGACCATGTCCCATAGTAAAAAGGGTAAGGTGATGTGTTTCAGTGTGTAGCACTTTCCCAGCATGTGGAACCCAAACTGGTTCCGTCTCCAGCACTGCAAAAAAGAGGGGGAGGGGAAGAAGAGGAAGCTTCCGTCCATTGAGGGATAATCTGCTAATATTGGATATGCATTTTCCATTTTTTTCTATGCATAGACACATTTTTCTTTTCCAAAAACAAGATGATTCGCATATGCTGAAAAGCCATTCACAAATTTTAAAAACTAAAATAGTTCTCTTAAACCGGCACACTTAGAATAAATATCACTAATAACTTTCATGGGTTTTTTTTTGTGTGTGGGGAAGGGGTTGAGACAGGGTCTCACTGTATAGTCCAAGCTGGCCTCCAACTCACAGTGACCCTCCTGCCTCAGCCTCCTGAGTACTGCACACACACTAAAATAATTATGGTCTTGTTGTTGTTGTTTTTAAGACAGGATCTTGCTATGAAATTCAGGCTGGTTTTGAGCTCACTATATAGCCCAGGCTGGCCCCAAACTCATAGTGTCCTGCCTCAGCCTCCCAAATGCTAGGAGTACAGGTGTGTGCCACCACACCCAGCTCTTCCCTTTTTTTCCAAAGTCACTGTCTGGCTTGCTATGTCTGGTGATTATAATCTGCAATATTTAATATTTATTTCAGAGTTCAAAAAAGAAAAAAGCTGGGTGTGGTGGCACATGCCTGAAATCCCACCACTTAGGAGACTGAGGCGGGACAGTCCCAAGCAAGTTCAAGTCCAGCCTGGGCTGCATAGTAAGACTTTGTCTCAAAAAAAAAAAAAAAAAAAAAAAAAAAAAGAACAAAAAATTTACAAAGGGAAAAATTTAAATATAAGTCAAAATGCAGCTGGGAGTGTGTATATGATATGTTTTTTTAGTTTTTTTTTTTTTTTTTTTTTTTTTTTTTTTTTTTTGTCAAGCGGTGGGGTATAAAGCAGAGCTGACCCTAAAGGGAGTCCCCGTGCCCCTGCCTCTGCAGAGTGTGCATGATGTCTGGCCCCGGGGCGGGGGCTGCTGGCTGGGGTCCCCTGGGCCCCCTGTGTCCCCTGCGCTCCCTGCAGCAGCCTGGCTGTGCTCAAAGAGGCTTCCCCGGCGTGGAGGAGCCTGGGGTCTGGGCCTCCTGCCCCATTGGCTCGCACCGATTGTGACGTCATGACCCTGGGGCTAGCGGGCACGCAGCGCCTTCTGCGGAGCATCCTGCGCTCATCAGGGCGTCGTGGGAAGCTTTCCGTGGCCTGTGGCGCTCTGGGAGGCCCACACTAAAGGCATTGTTAGCATTAATTACCTAAGGCCACACTGTCCCCTTGGAGGCTGTGACCGCAAACACGTTTCACAAGCGTGGACCCGCCCACGCTGCTCTCCGGGAGGGGTGACCCGGCTCTGGAGGGGTCCCCGCCTACTCCAGAAATCTCCTTCCTGCTTCTCTCCACTGTCCTGTTAGTACTGAAATCATGTCAGGTAGGGTTGCTTCCACAGTCACGAACGGTTTTGCAGTAAGGTTGCCGTGGTGGGGGCGGGACTTGCTTACAACAAGCATGATCTTCTAGTTTTTTTTTTTTTTTTTTTTTTGATCTAGTTTTTAGTTTCTCGGGTTTCACAACCAGCTGGGATGGCGTGCACGCTGGGGAGCTGAGGCTCGACTGCAAGTTTGAGCCCAGCCCGTACAATTTAGCAATTTAAAGAGAACTTTTCTTAAAAAAAAAAAAAACTGGTTCACACCTGTAATCCCAGCCTGGGCTACAAAGTGAGCTCAAGGCCAGCCTGAACTGCATAGTGAGACCCTGTGTCAAAAAAGACAAAAATAAATAAATAGGGCTGGGGGTGTAGTTCCGTGGTAGAGCACCCCTAGGTTCAATCCCAGCACCACAAAAATTCATTAAGATAAACATTAGCAATCTTACTGGCCAACCAGTATTTGGTTTTTTGGTTTGTTTTGCTTTGTTTTTGGGAATTGAACTCAGGACTCCATGCTTGCCAGGCAGGGGCTGTGCTGCTGAGCTAAATCCTCAGCTCCTCACCCCCAACCAGTATTATTAATGATGGGATTCCAAAGAAACCAGGTTGCCTCTGAGGCTTAAAAGCAACAAGGGCAGTTCAGTTTGTTTTGCTTTGTTTTGAATTCAGATTGCGTCCTACTCTAAATTTTGGTTTTTGGTTTGTTTTAATTTGGTTTTTGAAACAGGATCTTGCTACATAGCCCAGGCTGGCCTTGAACTCCCCGCAGCCCTCCTGCCTCAGCCTCCCAAGTGCTGGGATTACAGATGCGGGTCACCACACCTGGCTGCATACTGGTTTAAAAAGTGAACATTTTTGCTCTTGGTAGAACTAAAGAAAGTTAAACTGGTTTTTGACAGAGGCAATGCTGACCTGAGTAAGAACCTTCTTAGCTTTATGTGGGTTCCAAGATTTCTCACAGGGCGCAGCAGGGAGAAGGCACTGAGGGTCCCAGCTGTGTCCTGGGGCTGCCCATAGATCCTGAAAGCAGGCCTGG